CCCCCCCCCCCCCCGTTGCATATGGAATTCTGTAAACTAATCTTTAAATGCGGAACACAAACGTACGCGATCGATTCGGAGCGGACGATTAATTATATAAAGGAAGATTCGATAGCGTCGCGCTCGGAGGCTCGAACAAATCGGATTGGTTCTCTCTAAGGGAGCAAGCAGTTCCCGCTTGTAACAGCGGGGACCGTATGTCCTTTTTCCATACTCCACTTGATACTGTTGACCTTACGGCACACCGACTGGCTGCCACCGAAAGTTTGGCACTCTGCCATTTAACCCCGCCCGCTCTTTCTCTCTCTCTCTATCTCTCTCTTTCTTTCGGGGGAAGCGCAGCCATTGATTACGTGGTAACGGGAAGTGCGGCTGGAATTTCGCGAATCGGCGAGCGTTCGAACGTTAGTTCTTGTTTAAACATTCGCTGTGCATACTCATTACACGTGCCGATGAGTAATTTACCTTTTTGCCGGATCCCTTGCCCGACCGATTTTTCATGCGACTGCACCAGTCGTTAATCATTCGCCGGATGGGGAGGGCGCGCTGTGCTCGAAGCCTCCATTAAATGTTCACACGTTTTCGACTGTTCACGCAAAACCTAAACTCCTGTCCCAAAATCCGCTGTGAAACAACAGCTTTCTGTTGCATCTAACATTTAACCGAATTTTTAGTAGTCCCTAAATTCGGTCCAATTTATAACTTCTGGTAAGGTAAGAGTAGCTATTATGGAACGCTTTTCTGGGGGGGGGGGTACTATCTATCTAATTTTTATTGTATTATTTGTGCCACTGTTTCCAGAAGGGGACACAATTCAGGCGGCGTTTCATAATAGGAAATATTTCTCCGAGGTATGCAGAGTTTGTTGAAACAACATTTTTTGGCAGAAAGTAGAGAGTGTAAGTTTCTCCGGATAATTTCTGTTCTGTCGCATACGCGATGAAACCGTTTTCGAAAAGGAAATGCTTCGCGCGGAGGAAATGGATTTTCCGACACCGCTTTTCGCCACAGGCGATTTTCCGGGGGAAAACGCGAGTCCACGCGGCGGTTTAATCTGAAATCACCGCGACAAGCGTCCCTTCCCGATGCAATAAAGCCGCGGATCGTGCGATGAAGCGTGTCCCGCGTGACATTACGCTCGCGATTACAATCCAATAAAACCGCATCCGCGTGGACGTTTTTATCGCATCGTGACGTGATTATATTCTAATAAAAACCGATTCGGCGAAATGTTCTCATCGTGACACAGCGCGACAGTTTCAACGTGCACGACTCTCTGGCAGTCAGGCTTTGTTAACAATTTCAGGATAATATGATTTTCAACGATTTTTTCCTGGTAAAACATATACACTTTCTTGCGAAACGTGTACCGTGTTCAATAGTACATATATTTAGCCACTTTCAGTAATTTTACTGTTGGGGAAATTGTCAAAAATGACTGAGCGACAGCTTTCCTCCCGAAAAACGCTTATATGAACAGTAATGTCTCTCTAATTGACGCCCAGATTGACCACAAAAATGGACAATTTGGGAAGAGGAGATACGATAATTCGAGGCTTGCGGTTTATTTTTATAGTTATAAGTTGTCCATAATTATAAAAACGAGCCGCATCTTTTCTAACAGATGGGCTGAAAAGAATTGCTTTTTCACAAATCGGAGGTCTTGTAACTCAAATTTAAGATTTTTCTATGTTCGAACAATTCGTTCTACGTGATTTAAAGAAGAATCTTCATTGACAAACTTCTTTGCTTGTCTACTAGATAAAATCATGTATCAACAAAACGTTCGCGAATTTATGTCTTCGCAGCATCAAGTTCTAGGAGACAAGCTGTAGCTCAGCCGTTTTCGAAGATTTTGCGACCAAAAAATTGCTACAAATAGTGCAGTATATCTACTTTTCAATGATGTAATCGTTTGAAAAAAATGTTCCCCAATGTCTTCAAAAAGAATTCCTAAATCCGCGCCTCTCTCGGACAGTTAACTAGGCATGACCCTCCAATAAACGTTCGCCGCTTCAAAGGTTCCATGGACATTTTCGTCGTCGATATTTCCCCCCGTAAAGAGGTTGAAATAAACTGTTTCCGATCGTTGCAGAGTAGTTTTCCCTTTTTCGTCGGCGATCGCAACCTCTGGGGATTCGAAGTGACGGGAAAACTGTAGCGCATGGATGGCGAATACCGCGATTTTTTCTCGTTTACTGGTTTTTCGAGTGGCTGATAAGCGGACCGTGTAGACTAACGGTGCTCCTTTCCGCTCGGATCTTTCAGCTTCGGCCGGCATTGTATGCTGCGAACCACTCGGCGAATTATATCCGATCGCCCCGCAGAAACGCCTCGCTTTTTCAGAGCGGGTGGTCGATGGTGAAACGCGAGTCCGTTTCTGACTTAACCCTTTGCCGCTCCCACTTAAAGGCTCACTGCAGCGAGACAGGACGACCGCGTTTTTATAAATGGACATTTAAATTGATCACGCCCGTGCGGAATTTTATGCCTAGCCGATGAAAAAGAAATCCTAAAAAGCAAACTATTAGAGTCATCGTTGAAATTATTTTTTTATTCGATCCTTGATAAATGTGTGCATAAAATAATCTATTCACCTAATTGTTACACTTGGCGTTTCAATCACGCAACAATACAATATTCAATATATCAGTAGATATTCATATTCCGAGCGCCTTGGAGCGTTGGGTGCGGCGAAAGGGTTAGAAAGAGAAATCATAAAAAGGAAACTATAAGAGTCGTCGTTGAAATTATTTTTTTATCCGATTAGTGATAAATGTGTGCATAAAATTATCTATTCACCTAATTGTTACACTTGGCGTTTCAATCACGCAACACAATACAATATTCAATATGTCAGTAGACATTTAGATTTTGAGTGCTTTTGAGCGTTGGGTGCGGCAAAGGGTTAACACACGCGCGCCGCCTATCCGAGAAAATCGAGGATCTTAGGAAGATCTGTTACGAATAAATTCTCGATGGCACGTGAAAATTATTTACGCTGTTATTCGGTGCTTAGAACATTTCGCACGAGCTGCGGTTAAATCTGCGTAATGGCAGTTTATTTAACCGTGAAGAACTACGAATGAAAGTTTGTATTCCGCATGGAATGATGTGACGGGCCATTGACCACGTAAACCATTTCGCTGGTTCGAATATAAGTTCAAAGAACGTGCGCGCGCGTTCAAAGTTAGCGGCCCCGAAAGGACTTTCGAACAAAAATCGGCGAAACTTCCTGGCGAGAACCGCGAAAATGCAGGGGCCAATACGGTTCGATTTGGGTCGGAAACTCGAAAGCAGTAAAAATACGAAAAACCGTGTAGACGTGCTCTCGATTTCGAGCACGGCTCTCGACAGCTTCCCCTAGCGTTCGAAAGGGGGTTGCGGCGAGAGACCGGTCTGAGACGATCGATCCGAGGGCAAACAGGAGCCGTGGATCGAGAAACGATCGCGACTCCCCGCTGTTTGTCCCGGGATTTCGATAAACCAGGAGGGGAAGCCGATTACCGGCCAATCAGAAATGAAAATAACGGGCAGATAAGTGTTACGATTTGCATAATGCGGAGAGCGGTTGCTGGTTATCATGCGGCGTCACGCGACGCATGCTGCTGGATCATAATAATGGCCGATAAGACAGCCGTGCGCGCGGTTATGGCAAAAAATTGCGCGTCTCTCTCTCTCGGGGCGGCGCGCGGCGTGACGATGACTCACTCGCTCGTGACTGGCCCCACGATTGACCCCTTAATTGAAAACGTGTCCCCCGACTGTCGCCCGAGCCACGCGGAATCGTCCAGGATCGAGGGAAACGCGATCGAGAACGGGAACGATCGAGACGATCCCCAGATTCACCGCGAAACGGTTGATTCCGTGTACGGGATCGTTAAGTAGAATTAATTGCCGTGCTCGTGACCGTTCTCATTGCTTGATCGTTGCTCCGGTTTAATCTCACGGTTGCGCGGCATACTAATCGTTTTCTTCGGATATCAACGTGGTAATAATTTCTTTTTTTATTGCAAATCGGTAAATAATTCCTCTGACCAGGTGTCGTTAATTTTTACATCCCCTGCGTTAGCAAAGTAATTCTTGGCCCAAGCAGATGGCGATTAAACGTTACACCCCTCGTATTATATTAAGAAATTGCCAATATACAAAGAGGTATATTAATAAAGTCCGTATTCTTGCACGTCCAATCAATAATTTGCCATGTAAGTGCGAATAAAATGTAAGCACACTGAGTTGGCCATTATTCGAATTGTTATTCGAATAAAAATCTTCGTCTAAGATAATTATCGAAATGGATTCTTTTTATTCGAATAACAATTATTCATTGGGCCTCGTAAATTGTTCTATTTATTCATTCGAACGGAGATCGTAAAAGTATTCGAATAATAATGC